CTTGGCAAGTCATTATGTATTTGACTTCTTGTGATAAAGCCTCAATGAAGACTCAGTCCTAATATGTGTTTTGAGATTTCACAGTTATCACAGATAATCTTTGTATACATAGGAACACTCATATATAGGTACAAGTGTAGACTTAATTCCAAAGTTCTCCTATTTAAACTAACATACATTCTCTTTTTTTTTTCCCTCTAAATAATAGTCTTTCAAGCTATTTATAGCCACTGGGAATTTAGGTGAAATACTAAGAACTTGCTGTGGAATTGTCATTGAATTCTGAAATGAATTAATCACTTTATAAGGGTTTTAGAATTTGATTACACCACTACCTGTGAAAAATCTGTAATATTTGATGCAAATATATATAATATATATGTATTATGTGAATTTTCCCTGAATTCTAAACTAAATTAGTCCTTTTTATGTGTGTCAGTTCTGAGGCTACACTCAGGGGCCTGTCCGTGGGCTTTTTGCTATAAGCTAGTGTTCCACCACTTGAGCCACAGCTCCACTTGCAGCTTTTTGGTGATTGATTGGAGGTAAGAGTCTCAACAGATTTTCCTGACTAAGGTGGCTTTGAATATCAGTCCTCAGATCTCAGCCTCTTGAGTAGCTAGCATTACTGGCATAAGCCACTGGTCCCTGGCTTTTTTTTTTTTTTTTTGGATCGGTTGTGGGGCTTGAGCTCTGGGCCTGGGTGCTGTCTCTTAGCTCTTCAGCTCAAGGCTAGTGCTCTACCACTTGAGCCACAGTGCCACTTCTGGTTTTCTAGTGATTTATTGGAGATAAGAGTCTTACAGACTTTCCTGCCCTGACTGGCAGATCTCAGCCTCCTGAGTACCTAGGATTAACAGGTGTGAGCCACCTGTGCTCAGCTAAATCAGTGCATTTTTAAATTGACTGTAACATTGAAGATATCTATTGTTTTGTAAGCTGTTAACCGTGCAAAACCCCTGATACTGCTCATGCAAAAATTCCCTGTCCCATGCCCCTCCAGAAATTTGTCCTGAAGTTTGTTTCCTTGATTCCTTTTGTTGGCCATTTGTCATGTTTTGTTTTGTTTTCTGTTAGTTGACTCTAGTTATAGGGGAGAGTGATTCCAACCAGCCTCACTCCTGCTGTCACTCTCCCCACACACAGAAAGCTCCATCAGATTTCATTGTTGCTTTCATAGTTAAAAATAATATTCACTGTCTTGCTTTTCCCTTTCCTCATTCCTATCTTTTCCTAAGTAGTCCCTTAACTGATTCATTAACAGACCAAGAGTGAAATATTTTGCAGTCCTGCCCTAAGGTACAAGCTGACCCTAGTTCTCCAGCCCTCTATGTGTTTGTCATTGGCTTGAGTTTGGCTTTGTTTCCCACTTCACTGAAGCATTTGAGAAGAGTTTGTTTAAAATCTACTTCCTTAAAATCTACTTGTTTAAAAGCTACTTCCTTTCAATGAGCAGATTGATGAGGACATTTGATTGTAATTGGTAGGAATGTGATCGTCCAGATATTTCAGTTTGTATCCCTTGTGAGTCAATTAAAAAATAATTTGCACTGTGGTTAGAAATTGTAGTTCAGCCGGGCGCTGGTGGCTCACGCCTGTAATCCTAGCTACTCAGGAGGCTGAGATCTGAGGATCACGGTTCAAAGCCAGCCTGGGCAGGAGAGA